AGGCCATGCGCCGGGAGGGAGGGGTAGAGGAGATTAACCGGGCTATTGAGGCCCTCAGCAAAAGACATGACAAACATATGGCAGTGTATGACCCGATGGCCGGCGAAGATAATAAGCGCCGACTGACGGGCAAACAGTGGTACGATATGAACAAGTTTACGGCAGGTGTGGCCAATCGGGCGGCGAGTGTTCGCATACCAAAGCGCGTATCGATGGCGGGTAAGGGCTATTTCGAGGACCGGCGACCGGCGGCTAATTGCGATCCCTATGCCGTTACCGAAGCCCTCGTCCGTACCGTTTGTCTCAATGAATGAATTGTTTGTTAGAGTTATTAAATGTTATATTTTATATATTGTAAGTTTTATGTATAGTACAACATTTTAACTTGTAATATCTATTTAATAAAATTAGTTATTAAATAATTTGTTTATAAATTTTTAAAATAATTATTACCTTATATTTACTGTCAATTAAGGAAAAAGAAATATTATTGATATTGATTTATTTGCCAACAAATTATCAGGTTTTGAGTAATAAATTATTTTTGGTAGTAAATAATTAGAGATTAACTAGCCTTGTATTAAATATCAAATTATAAAATGCTGAATATTTTATCAAATTAGCTTGTACCGCTATATAATTAACGTCAATAGAGTACAAATAAATTCCCAATTAAATAATCATTTACTTACATTAATGTGGCAACTAGGGATGAAAATTTCACTGAAATTTTCATATGAACATTTCATTTAGGCTAAATATTGAAATTTTGAGCTAAATTTTCATTAAAATGTGAAATATTCATATGCTTTTAAACTAGATACTTTTAATGTGGTGAAATATATAAACATCAAACTAATTAAAACATTTTTCTTTTAAAATAATTAAGAAAATTTTTTTGGTTCTTTAAATATTTCAAATTTACTAGCAATTCTTGCAAATTCTGTTATATATTCTGTGAATATTTTACTTCAAATATGAATTCCAAAATTCTATACTACAAAATAATAATGAATTTAAGACAAATTAAGTATTCTGTTAAGTATTTAAATAAATTACTTTTTGATAATAGTTGTTAATTTAGTTTAAATTACACAAATTAGTGATTTATTTAGTAAATATGTGTAATATAGATGTCGCTAATATATAGCGAGACCCCTAAACGTTCCCTAAATTTAGGGCTAAATTTAGCCCTAAACGTTCCCAAACTTTCACCACTAACATCTCTAGTGGCAACATATAAAACACGCTAGTACTTGACAATAGACGTTCACTTAACCTACAAACATTCATTACAAAACTTACCCTTTAATATACCCTGTAGAATCTATTTGTATTTGTACCTAGCGTTGCCAGAAAATATTTTGAATTTCCTGTATAATTGTAAAAATTTTACCAAAAATTCCTGTATTTTTCTGTATTTCATTGTCTGTAAATTAAAACTTCAAATTTATACAAATTTCTAATGAATCATATTTTTGCGAAAATTCGAGTGTTTATACATTGTCTTTAGAATTGAATTAATTAAGTTTAAATTCATATAATTTCGAGCATTAATTCATATTGTGGATGAGCAGTGGGTGTACAGGTCTACTACTATTAACATATTTGAATATTTTAGTATTTTCATTGATTATTGCTAAAATATTTATTCCTGTATTTTTCAATGTACAGGAATGACCCTTCCCTGTATTCTGCAATATTCCGTAATTCCTGTATAATACAGGCCATTCCTGTATATCTGGCAACGCTATTTGTACCCGTTTGGACTTTGTTTATAATAATTTCAAATTATAAAAATATACAGTATATTACGGTAATAGGAAAATATAATGTCAAGTTTAGTACAGGAATGAAACATATGGTAACACTACTGGTAAAGGTGCAAAAATTACTGTAGGTACTTTAGGTGCAAAAATACACATGCGTATATCGTACAATATAACTAACTTGTAAGATGATAAAAATTTTTAAATAAATATAAATTAATCATTTTTTGTAGTATAATTACGCAATTGTGGTATTACAAGTCAAAATGATAATTTATAGATAACTTCTAGTTTATTATCATAAAATAAAATAAACTCAAGCATAATATAAAGTTCGTGCAGCGTTTGAGTTTAATTTATTGATTATCATTTATAACAAGTTAAATAATAAATTATTAAACACACAAAATTTTAATATAATATTTTAACATTTATAATATTTAATATTATTGTATTATAACAACATTTAACTTTAAGTTAGAAGTTAAAAAATAAATATTAGTTAAATATTTTTTAGAAAATTTAATTAATCTACAATAATTATCATTAAATAAACCATCATGAGCATAACCAGCAACCAACTCAGCACCAACAGCAACTATCTGGCTAAATTTCGGGCCCTTGATCAATCTACCAACAAAACCATGGTCACCTACGTGTACGCTAACCCAAACCGGCACAAAGTGGGACAAATATGCGCCAAAACTCGCGTTGTGGACTTTGTGCCCAAACACCCGGATGACTTACCTCTATGGGACAACGGCACGGGTGACCTACGAGTGGAAATACTGATACGACCGGTACGGCTATACCGGGACCCGTTCCGGGGCCGACACAATATGCTAGCCCTGTGCGAACTGCTCAACACCGATGGCAAGCCTATCGACATAAACCGTCGGCACAGTTGTGTGGAGGCCATGGATGCGGCCGCCAAACAGCACCCGTGGTTTGGCGCAGAGCAGGAGTATATGCTGTTTGACGGGTACGACCCGAGACGACCGCTGGGATGGCCGACCATCGGGCAGCCGGACCTGCCCTGGGCTACGGATTTGATCTATGACTCGGGTGTCGGCGCCAATACCCAGTACGGCAGGGATGTGGCCGAAGCTCATCTGCTGGCCTGTCTGTACGCAGGAGTTATGATTGGTGGCCAAAATGGCGAGAATCAGCCAGCGCAGTGGGAGTACCAGGTACAATTGTTTTGTTTTTATTAATTTATTTAAGTTGTGAAATAAATTTTTAGTATAATGTGAGTTATATTACTTACTTTAATATTTATAAATTAGCAATATTAATTTACAACATAAATCCTATCATCTAATAACCCAATGAACAGGTGGGTCCGTGCGAAGGCATACAACTGGGCGACGATCTGATAATGTCTCGGTATATACTGTTACGGGTGGCCGAAGACCTGCACATTGGGGTAACCTTTGACCCGAGACCTGTGCCGGGATGGCTGGGAAGCGGAGCGCACATGAACTTCAGCACAGAGGCCATGCGCCGGGAGGGAGACTTAGCCGAGATTAACCGGGCTATTGAGGCGCTAGGCAAAAATCACTCAAAACATATGGCTATTTACGACCCGATGGCCGGCGAGGATAATAAGCGTCGACTGACGGGTGAATATGGGACAAACAATGTACAGACTTTTACCTCCGGTGTGGCCGACCGGTCGGCCAGTGTTCGTATACCCAAACGGGTAGAGATGGCCGGTAAGGGCTATCTGGAGGACAGGCGACCGGCGGCTAATTGCGATCCCTATGCCGTTACCGAAGCCCTTGTCCGTACCGTTTGTCTCAATGAGTAAATTATTTTTGTTAATTAATTATTAGGGTTACTTAAAAACATTTTATTATAATAAAAATTATTGATGTTTATAACATTGTTATACAATATTACAAAGTTTATAATTTAAATTTTTGAGCAAATTTATGCACTAATATGAAGTACCGAAAATATAATATAATCATCTGCAAAATAAATAATAATTATTATAACAAGTAAATAACTTATAATTTACATACTTTACTAAACACGGTAAATGTGATGACACCCAAACCCCCTATACTGGCGCCCAATTTCCTATCACTGCTGAGTCTCTCGAAACACATCATTAACTTAAGCTTAAATCTCATGCGAAAAACGCCTCCATTTATACACCATTGAAGTCGTGATAACTTTTTGTGCATTTTATGCATTTGTCGTGAATATGACGCTAACATGTATTGTATGAAAATTAAGTTAAAATACATAATCAATAGGAATAAGGTATAAAATATTTGAAACATTAGCATGATGTCATCGAAAAACAGCGTGTGCAATAAAAGCAACGTAATCGGAAATAGTGTCACAATTATAGCTAGGTAAATATGTTTCCAGAATTGGCTTTGTCTATGAAATTGTTGACAAATTATATTGTGTTCAATTTATTGGACATTGAATGTTAGATTATAAAACAATTAGTAAATGTTATAAAAATATTTTAGGTAATAAATAAAGTAAAACAGGTAGAGAAAATTAAATTAGATTTTATGTAAAACATTTATAAATAATGCTAAATCTATTTATAACATTTTATAGTAAAAGTGTTCAATATAATAGGTTTATTGTGAAACATACAATTAGTAATTGTCAATTACTTATATATTTTAAAGCATTTCACATGTTATCTCACTATATTATTTACAAAATTGGCACAAATTTATGCTCTTGTAATGCACTATTATCTGATGTGTGCACTTAATATTGCATGTTGCACCCAGATACTGTATAAAGTACAGTTACTGTACATAATGTGCATAAGATTTTAAGTATTTGAAACATTTTACTTGTTTTTTTAATGCTTTTACTTACGATTTATAAAACACCAAAACACATCTATTTGATCATAATCACTCAAAATGTACTTTATATATCAGACAATGCACCAAACTATAACAATTTACACTTGTATACTTGATCAAACTTGCCAATAATTACATTACCTTGCTTAAAAATTCTCATTTATTAATATTTTATTATTGTCAATATTTAAAATAAAATAATGTGACCTCTTATTAAATAATAATTATCAAAATTTAATCAATTAACTGATTACGTAAGTTTAAACAACGTATATAATTTAGTTCATGTTATATAAAGTACTGTATATGTTATACTGTATAATACAGTATATGTACACAGAACATTAAACTGTATTTAATAAATTAAATAAAATTATAATTAGATATGTAATTAATTTCCCTATTTTATATCAAATATGTATATTTGCTTTATAATAATAATAAAAATAATATTTATTAAATAAACTTTCAATTATACATAAAGTCCTTTCAATAAAGTTCACAAATTATTTAGGCATTTAATAAATTGATTGATTGGTTTTGAGATAATTTATCCACATAGTTTAGTAACTCATATCAATAAATTTAAATTAGCTGATTAGACATTTGACATGAAACACACACCATGTGCATTTCACATTTTTCACCTTCAAAGCACGATTAAAAATACTATAAGATGTGTCTGGTTCATTTAATCGCTATCTACATGATCACGTTGTTTTGATAACAACTTATTTTGCTGTTTAAATTTCAAATAAACCGCAAACTATATAAACGTGTGCTTAACATATGTTAGAAATCATATGAAAAATAACTCATTAAAAATTTTTAATTCATAAATTAATTAAAAATATTTAATTAATATACCTCATACGAAAATTATATAAACCACCATGACCAGCACACCAACCCCGCTAACATCAAACGGCGCATTTATGGCCCGGTATATGGCGCTGGAGCAACCGGCCGACAAAATCCAGGTAACTTACGTGTACATGCATCCGGGCAACGACAACCTAGCGCATTATTGTGGCAAAACTAAAGTGGTCGACTTTGTGCCCAAACACCCCGACGACCTGCCCATATGGGACTCGGGTGTACTCACCTCATACGAGGACGAGATACTCCTACGGCCGGTACGGCTATACAAAGACCCATTCAGGGGCGGCAACAATAGGCTGGTCCTATGCGATGCACTCGACGGCGATATGAAACCCCTTATCAGTAATCACCGGCACAGTTGTCTGGAGGCCATGGAGGCGGCGGCCAAACAGCACCCATGGTTTGGCATAGAGCAGGAGTATATGCTTATGGATGGCAATGATAGGAAACGGCCACTGGGCTGGCCCGTCAACGGATACCCGGAGCCGATAACTGCCCCGCATGTAATGTATCATGGTGCGGTCGGCGCTAATAATCAGTATGGCAGGGATGTTATGGAGGCCCACTTCAGGGCCTGTCTGTACGCCGGCGTTAATATTAGTGGCGAAAATGCCGAGGGTCAGCCATCGCAGTGGGAGTACCAGGTACAGTTTTGATTTATTTACACAATATAATTAAACTAAATAATTGTGAAATTTTTGTAAACTAAATAAGTTATTTAAAATAACTAATAATTATAAACTATTATTTTAATAATTATAATATTTATTATTTTATATCATGTCAAAATTAGACTACATTGATTAATCACTTATAAACTAAAACTTAATAAATTATAATAAATGAAATATTATTTTCAATGAACAGGTGGGTCCGTGCGAAGGCATACAAATGGGCGACGATCTGATAATGTCTCGGTATTTACTATTACGGGTGGCCGAAGACCTACACATTGAGGTCACATTTGACCCAAAGCCTGTGCCCTCATGGATGGGCAACGGAGCGCATTGCAACTTCAGTACTGAGGCCATGCGCCAGAAAGGAGGCATAGCCGAGATTAACCGGGCTATTGAGGCGCTCAGCAAACGGCATGACAGACATGTGGCGGCCTATGACCCCAGGGGTGGTGCAGATAATAAGCGCCGACTAACCGGTCAAATGTGGTCAAGCGATATAAGCAAGTTCTCGTCAGGTGTGGCCAATCGGGCGGCCAGTGTTCGCATACCAAAGCGCGTATCGATGGCCGGAAAGGGCTATTTCGAGGACCGGCGCCCGTCATCTAATTGCGATCCCTATGCCGTTACCGAAGCCCTCGTCCGTACCGTTTGTCTCAATGAATGAATTGTTTGTTAGAGTTATTAAATGTTATATTTTATATATCGCCGCAAGTTTTTATATACAATAAAATAATTTAATGTTTTAATTTTTCTTTAATAAAAATAGTTATTAAATAATTTGTTTATATTTTTAAAATAAATTTTGTTTTATGTTAATTAGGAAGAAAGCTATATCATGGATGATTTGTTTGTAAATAAATTATAATTTTAAGTAATAAATTATATTTAGTAATACTGTACATTTAATTTCAACTAAACAGAATTTAATGATTGCTTTATTTTTATTAACTAAATAATAATAATAAAGGATAAAATGCAATGTTAATGGGTAAAATGTCAAAAAATTTTATATTAAATAATAAAGCCCGCTAATTGTATACCGGAGTTATACGGTATAAACTTAGCAAAAATTGTTGCCTAAGGTGTCACCTCATCATCACGTAATTCATGCTTTGGTTAATTATATGATTATTAATTTTTTAAATTAATTAAGACAAGAAATTACAGTGTTCTTATGATTTATGCAATTAATAAATTCATTACTGATATGATTTGTCATATAATTTGTCACACACTTTGCTAGATAGTTTTTATAATGTACTTACGAACTATATAAACGAATGCTTAATATGTTTTTAAAAATATATGAAAACAAAATAACTATTGAAAAAATTATTATTTGTTAATAAAAATTATATAAAGTCACCATGGCCATCACACCAACCCCGCTAACCTCAAACGGCGCATTTATGGCTCGGTATATAGCGCTGGAGCAACCGGTCGACAAGATCCAGGTCACCTACGTGTACATGCATCCGGGCAACGACAACCTAGCGCACTATTGTGGCAAAACCAAAGTGGTCGACTTTGTGCCCAAACACCCCGACGACCTGCCCATATGGGACTCGGGCCTACTTACAAACCCCAATGAAGAGATACTCATACGTCCGGTGCGACTATACAAAGACCCATTCAGGGGCGGCAATAATAGACTGGTCTTATGTGAGACATTGGACAGCGATATGAAACCCCAAATGTATAATCACCGGCACAGTTGTCTGGAGGCCATGGAGGCGGCCAGCGGTCAACACCCGTGGTTTGGCTTTGAACAGGAGTATATGTTGCTGGATGGTAATGACAGGCAAAGGCCACTGGGCTGGCCCGTGAACGGCTACCCGGAACCGATATCTGCCCCGCATGTACTCTATGCGTATAGTGTGGGCGCAAACAATCAATACGGTAGGGATGTTATGGAGGCTCACTTCAGGGCCTGTCTGTACGCCGGCGTTAATATCAGTGGCGAGAATGCCGAGGCTCAGCCATCCCAATGGGAGTATCAGGTACAGTTTTTGTTTATAATCATTTGTTTAAATTAGTATTTATTATTAAGTTAATTTACAATGAGATTGAGTTTGTGAATTATAAGTTTGTAATGAGTTTGCTCGCAGTGATCATGACAAAATAATAATCTAAATAATGTTTTACTTTAAATAATTTACTGCATTTGTTTGTTAATAATCTTTACCATTCATTTAATACAACATTTCAATGAACAGGTGGGTCCGTGCGAAGGCATACAACTGGGCGACGATCTGATAATGTCTCGGTATATACTGTTACGGGTGGCCGAAGACCTGCACATTGGGGTAACCTTTGACCCGAAACCTGTAGAGGGCTGGCCGGGTAACGGCGGTCACACCAACTTCAGCACTGAGGCCATGCGCCGGGAGGGAGGGGTAGAGGAGATTAACCGGGCTATTGAGGCCCTCAGCAAAAGACATGACAAACATATGGCAGTGTATGACCCGATGGCCGGCGAAGATAATAAGCGCCGACTGACCGGCAAACAGTGGTCGAGCGATATAAACAAGTTTACGGCAGGTGTGGCCAATCGGGCGGCCAGTGTTCGCATACCAAAGCGCGTATCGATGGCCGGAAAGGGCTATTTCGAGGACCGGCGCCCGTCATCTAATTGCGATCCCTATGCCGTTACCGAAGCCCTCGTCCGTACCGTTTGTCTCAATGAATGAATTATTTGTTAGAGTTATTAACTTTTATATTTTATATATAGTTGGAAGTTTTATGTATAGTGCAATATTTTAACATGTAATATTTGTTTAATAAAACTAGTTATTAAATAATTTGTTTGTATATATTTTAAAATAATTGTTGTTTACTGTTTGAAAGAATAAAGAAAGGAATATTAATGATATTGATTTATTTGCCAACAAATTATCAGGTTTTAAGTGATAACTTATATTTGGTCTTAAATAATTCGAGATTAACTAGCCTTGTATTAAATATCAAGTTATAAAATGCTGAATATTTTATCAAATTAACTTGTACCGCTATATAATTAACAGCGATAGAGTACTAATAAATAAACATTCACTTACATTAATGTAGCAACATATAAAACACACTAGTAATTGACAATAGACGTAAACTTAATCTACAAACATTCATTACAAAACTTACTCTTTAGTTAATAAAGTTACTAAAGTTTAGTATACTCTGTAGAATCTATTTGTATTTGTACCCGTTTAGACCTTGTTTATAATAATCTCAGTTAAAAAATTCATACAGTATATTAATAGAAAAATATAATGTTAAATTTGTTATTGGAATGAAACATATGGTAACACTACTTGTAAATGTGCAAAAATTTCTGTAGGTACTTTAGGTGCAAAAAAATACACATGCGTACATCGTACAATATAACTAGCTTGTAAGATAATAAAAATTTTAAAATAAATATAAATTAATCATTTTTGCAGTATAATTATGCAATTGTGGTATTACAAGTCAAAATGATAATTTATAAACAAAGTTCTTGTTCATTATCAATGAAATAAACTCAACCATAATATAAAGTTCTTGCAGTGTTTGAGTTTAATTTATTGATTATAATTTATAACTAGTTAAAATAATAAATTATTAAACATACAAAATTTTAATTTAATATTTGAACATTTATAATATTTAATATTATTGTATTATAACAGCATTTAATTTAAAGTTAGAAATTAAAAAATAAATATTAGTTAAATATTTTTTAGAAAGTTTAAATAAACAACCATGAGCACCAGCAACCAACTCAGCACCAACAGCAACTATCTGGATAAATTTAGGGCCCTTGATCAATCTGCCAACAAGACCATGGTCACCTACGTGTACGCTAACCCGAATCGACACAACGTGGGACAAATATGCGCCAAAACACGCGTGGTGGACTTTGTGCCCAAACACCCGGATGACTTACCTCTATGGGACAACGGCACGGGTGACCTGCGAGTGGAAATACTGATACGACCGGTACGGCTATACCGGGACCCTTTCCGGGGCCGACACAATATGCTAGCCCTGTGCGAACTGCTCAACACAGATGGCACGCCTATCAGCATAAACCGTCGGCCCAGTTGTGTGGAGGCCATGGATGCGGCCGCCAAACAGCACCCGTGGTTTGGCGCAGAGCAGGAGTATATGCTGTTTGACGGGTACGACCCGAGACGGCCGCTGGGATGGCCGACCATCGGGCAGCCGGACCTGCCCTGGGCTACAGATATGATTTACGACTCGGGTGTCGGCGCCAATACCCAGTACGGCAGGGATGTGGCCGAAGCTCATCTGCTGGCTTGTCTGTACGCTGGAGTTATGATTGGTGGCCATAATGGAGAGAATCAGCCGGCACAATGGGAGTACCAGGTATTAATGTTTTTGTTTTTATTAATTAATTTAAATTGTTAAACAATTTTTTAAACATAAAATTAGTTATATTAGTTAATTTAATGTTTATATTTAATCATGATCAGATATTTTACTTCCCGATCCATAAGCCTCGGAACAGTTGTACTTAATACTGTATTAATCAATTATTTTGCTTAATTAAAATGATAAATTTCGCATATTTTTATAAATTAGCAACATTAATTTACAACATTATATAAGTTGATCTAATACACATAATGAACAGGTGGGTCCGTGCGAAGGCATACAACTGGGCGACGATCTGATAATATCTCGGTATATACTGTTACGAGTGGCCGAAGACCTGCACATTGGGGTAACCTTTGACCCGAGGCCTGTGCCGGGATGGCTGGGCAGCGGAGCGCACATGAACTTCAGCACTGAAGCCATGCGCCGAGAGGGAGGGCTGGCAGAGATTAACCGGGCTATTGAGGCGCTGGGCAAAAATCACGCAAAACATATGGCTATTTACGACCCGATGGCCGGCGAGGATAATAAGCGCCGACTGACCGGTGAATTTGGGACAAACAATGTGCAGACCTTCACGTCGGGTGTGGCCGACCGGTCAGCCAGTGTTCGTATACCCAAACGGGTAGAGATGACCGGTAAGGGCTATCTGGAGGACAGGCGACCGGCGGCTAATTGCGATCCCTATGCCGTTACCGAAGCCCTCGTCCGTACCGTTTGTCTCAATGAGTGAATTATTTTTATTGATTAATTATTAGGTTTACTTAAAAACATTTTATTATGATAAACATTATTTAATTATAACATTGTTATACAATATTACAAAGTTTATAATTTAAATTTTTGTGCAAATTTATGCACTAATATGAAGTACCGAAAATATAATATAATCATCTGCAAAATAAATAATAATTATTATAACAAGTACATAACTTATAATTTACATACCTTACTAAACACGGTAAATGTAATGACACCCAAACCCCCTATACTGGCGCCCAATTTCCTATCACAGCTGAGCCTCTCGTAACACATCATTAACTTAAGCTTAAATCTCATGCGAAAAACGCCTCCATTTATACACCATTGAAGTCGTGATAACTTTTTGTGCATTTTATGCATTTGTTGTGAATATGACGCTAACATGTATTGTATGAAAATTAAGCTAAAATACATAATCAATAGGAATAAGGTATAAAATATTTGAAATATTAGTATGATGTCATCGAAAAACAGCGTGTGCAATAAAAGCAACGTAATCGGGAATAGTGTCACAATTATAGCTAGGTAGATATTGTCATGTATAGAAACCTATGAAATAAACATTTCTAATTATCCTATTTTTGATTGACTACCGAGGTTATATAAACGATGCGATTTTAATCTAACGATTAGCATTTGTTAAATACATTATAATTAACAGATTAAGAGGTATAATTTGTTTGGCCCACGGGTAGATTTCCCGGAAATCGGGTATTTAAGTCTAATGCCTAATGACGGGCGCCGGTCCTCGAAATAGCCCTTTCCGGCCATCGATACGCGCTTTGGTATGCGAACACTGGCCGCCCGATTGGCCACACCTGACGAGAACTTGCTTATATCGCTTGACCACATTTGACCAGTCAGTCGGCGCTTATTATCTGCGCCACCCCTCGGGTCATAGGCCGCCACATGTCTGTCATGCCGTTTGCTGAGCGCCTCAATAGCCCGGTTAATCTCGGCTATGCCTCCCTCCCGGCGCATGGCATCAGTGCTGAAGTTACAGTGCGCTCCGTTGCCCATCCATGAGGGCACAGGCTTTGGGTCAAATGTGACCTTAATGTGCAGGTCTTTGGCCACCCGTAACAGTAAATACCGAGACATTATCAGATCGTCACCCATTTGTATGCCTTCGCACGGACCCACCTGTTCATTGAAAATGATATTTTATTTATTAAGTTTTAGTTTATAAGTGATTAATCAATGTAGTCTAATTTTGACATGATATAAAATGATAAATATTATGATTATTAAAATAATAGTTTATAATTATTAGTTATTTAGTTTACAAAATTTTAACAATTATTTAGTTTAATTTTATTGTTTAAATAAATAAAAACTGTACCTGGTACTCCCACTGCGATGGCTGACCCTCGGCATTTTCGCCACTAATATTAACGCCGGCGTACAGACAGGCCCTGAAGTGAGCCTCCATAACATCTCTGCCGTATTGATTATTAGCGCCAACAGCGCCGTGATATAGTACATGAGGGGCCGATATGGGCTCCGGGTAGCCGTTGACGGGCCAGCCCAGTGGCCGTTTCCTATCATTGCCATCCATAAGCATATATTCCTGCTCTATACCAAACCACGGGTGCTGTTTGGCCGCAGCCTCCATGGCCTCCAGACAACTGTGCCGGTGATTACTGATCAGGGGTTTCATATCACCGTTGAGTGCATCGCATAGGACGAGCCTATTGTTGCCGCCCCTGAATGGGTCTTTGTATAGCCGTACCGGCCGTAGGAGTATCTCGTCCTCGTATGAAGTGAGTACACCCGAGTCCCATATGGGCAGGTCGTCGGGGTGTTTGGGCACAAAGTCGACCACTTTGGTTTTGCCGCAATAATGCGCTAGGTTGTCGTTGCCCGGATGCATGTATACGTAGGTGACCTGGATCTTGTCGGCCGGTTGTTATAGCGCCATATACCGGGCCATAAATGCGCCGTTTGATGTTAGCGGGGTTGGTGTGCTGGTCATGATGAATTATTTAATTTCGGTATAAGTTATATTATAATTAATAACTTAATTAATAATTTATTTATTAATAACTTTTGATGAGTTATTTTTCATATGATTTCTAACAGATGTTAAGCACACGTTTATATAGTTTTGCGGGTTATTTAAAATTTAAACAGCAAAATAAATTGTTATCAAATCAACGTGATCATATAGATAACGATTAAATAAACCAGACACATCTTATAGTATTTTTAATCGTGCTTTGAAGGTGAAAAATGTGAAATGCACATGGTGTGTGTTTCATGTCAACTGTCTAATCAGCTAATTTGAATTTATCGATATGAGTTACTAAAATATGTGGATAAGTTATTACAAATCAATCAATCAATTAATTAAATGCCTAAATAATTTGTGAACTTTATTGAAAGGTCTTTATGTATAATTGAAAGTTCGTTTAATAAATATTATTTTTACCATTAGTATAACATAAATTTACATATTTTGAATATTTGTAGCTGGTAATTATATATATAATTTTGATTTTATTTAATTTACTAAATACAGTACATGTATTAACACACAATTTATGCAGCATAAATATACATGTGTTACACATGATGTGTATATTATTTTTATTTACAGCCTAGTGCTTTATATAACATAAACTAAAATATGCTGAATCCGGCGATTAAAGTTACATAATCAGTTAATTGATTAGATTTTGATAATTAGTTATTTCTTCCTTTTATTGATTTATCTTAAATATTGACAACAATCAAATATTACTAAATTAAGATTTTTAAGCTAGGTAATTTAATTTTTGGCAGGTTTGAGCAAGTAGAATTAGTATATAAGTGTAAATTGTTATATTTCGTTGCATTATCTTAGATAAAGTACATGTAAAATGACCATAATTAAACATGTGTTTTTGGTGTTTTATAAATCGTAAGTAAAAGCAAAAAACAAGTAAAATGTTTTAATTAAAAACTTAAAATCTTAAACACATACTGTACTTAATACAGTATCTGGGTGCAATATGCAATATTAAGTGCACACATCAGATAATAGTGCATTACAAGAGCATAAATTTGTGCCAATTTTGTAAATAATATTATGAGATAACATGTGAAATGTTTTAAAATAGTTGAGTATAATGTACAGTATGTTAAACAATAAACCCATTATATTGAACACTCTTTTGACATAAAATATATTATAAATAGGTTTACCAGTATTTATAAATGTTTTACATAAAATCCTATTGATTTTTCTCTACCTGTTTTATTTAATTTATTAACTAAAATATTTTTAACCACAATTCAGTATGAATAATGTGGTTTATAGGATC